AAATCAATTAGTTGATTTCTTTCCTTCAGAATTTATTAATTTTGCTTGTTTCTTTTTATGTCTATTACTATTTTAATTTAGATCTTGTTTAGAAAATAGTAGTAAAAATACCTACTAATCGAATATAACGAAACATACCCCATATCGTCGCATATATAATCAAAAAAACTATATCGCCGAACACAATTTATTACAAAACACTATACTAATAATCTTCATAAATTTAAGCAGAAACTATGCTAATTGGCGTCTTCATTGTGACATCCACACACAAGTAGAAATGTTGCCAAAATACGCGATTATTTAAAAAAAAAACCGTTGCTTATATAAAAGCACTATAAAAAGCCCACTATAAAAGCGCTAAACTTTTTTAATTTAATACTAACTTCCCAGTGCGCTTTTATAGTGAAACACCTTGTACATAAACCAAATGATTCAAACGCATACAACAAATCTTAATCGTGTCTTAATATGAATAATTGCCTAGTTAGGATAATAAATTACAAATCAAGATGAATGGCTGATAGGTATTTGCATTATTGCGCTCACCTGAGCCTGTTTTCTTAAGTTTTAGCATTGTCATCGTATGCCCTAAGGTTTTCCGAATCAAATGCACTACACTAAAACCAAGTTTGCATAGTATTAAATAAAAAATAGTTCATGCGGGTATGGTTGACTTGCACCAAATTATAGCTACATTTAATAATAATCCTAAACCAGGACAATGTGCACTTAACGGTGTTATTTAGACCGTCAAGAAATGAAAACTGTTTGCTTTTTAATATTACTGGCCGAAGAAGTAATTCTTCATTCGAAATTATTCAATGAACACTGATACTGCGATGATGGACGTATTGAGTGTACAATTGAAATAGAAATTGCCCTACTTATGATTCAAATGTTAATGATGAATTCATTCTGTTGAATAATAAAAGTTCTTCGGCACGGCCATACGGTATGCCTAATTCGGCAAATGGTTGCATGTTTCTGAACTCCCAGTCTAGCGCGAATTAATATCGGCCTAATGAAAACAAATTAAGCTGTCCAAAACCATCGCTCGTTCGATTAACGCGTGCTATAACAACCTGGAAATTGTCCAGCAAATCATTTAATTATTAATTATAGTGAAGTTAATTAAGAATCGGCTCAAGGGAGGTCCTGAGAACAAGTTGTTTGCTAGCTGACGACAGGTTTTCCTTTGAGCCCATTATTATCATTTATCTTTTAATTTGCATGTCTGCCTGTGCCAGAAACCCCATCAACGAGTGTGCAAAATAAATATTATTTTTAACTGCGAATATTAGACTTAAACAAAAAAATAATAAAGAGGCACAATATGGTCTAGGCAAGCAAGGGAGCGGAAACTTTACAGCTCGATATCAGTATAAACTGTGCCTTTGTAGCCTGAAAAAGCCACCAAAACTGTCTCGATTTTTACAGTTTATTAACCGGTTAAGTCCAGGGAGTGTTCTGCAATTCCCATTCTTTTATGTCTAGGGTGTGGTGCAAAAATTGCCAGAATAAAGAAGAATTATAGGCGAATGTTCTATAGTGTAAATGTACATGAATCCACAGGAGGATTTTGTTATTATATTAAAACAGGTCTCCATATAAAGACCACCACGTTGGACATGCATTTTTGCCCTGATGAGAACATGACTTTGTATTAAAAACTGGGGCTGCTATATAATGAAAACTTTCAATGCCGGGTGTCCGAAAAGAAGACAATCTAACAGTTTGATCTGAAAATGTTTGCGCTTAAACTATGAAAGCTACGGGATTTTTCAAAAAGCCCAAAAATCCCGACAAGGAATGACCGCTGGCTGCATAAAAAATATAATTGATTTCCGCTTCCAAGTAAAATCTCTTTGTGATTTTTGTACCAAGACACTCTCGAATTCACCATTTGCCCATAGCCGATGAACGCGAAAGCTGCATTCAAATATGTAAGAGAAGAAACGCACAGCAAAATTAATTAAAATTCATTCATTCAATTTCATTCAAAAATAAAATAAAAAGACACAAAAATTATTCGCAACTTACTATTAACTTTAATGTTATTCTGATACAGTTTGCTGCAAAAAAGTGTTATTGTTGTTTGAGTCATTTATATTTGGGAATCGTCAACAACCAATGTGCGACGAATGACTAATTTTTAACACTGATTTTACCGGTTAGAGGAAAATTATGAAAGCATGAGGAGTGAGTCACTTGAAACATAACTTCGATGATTTATATAAAACCTTATTTTAAGACCAGAAAGTTATATAAACATATCCTAAAACCTTATCCGTTTTTAAACTACAGGGTGACAAAGTAGCTATTTTGTTTCATTGCAATAAAAAAGGTAATTAAAAAAGTTTTGCGTTAAAATACGGTTTTACATCGACCGTTTGGGTATGTGCTACTATACATTGAGCCACCCACTATAACAGCCCCTAGTATATAGTTTCAAGAAAATTTTCTTCACCTGTCTCTCATCTCTAAAAAATATATCAACTTGTAGGTAACATGGCACTCAATATCTTTCAGTTCAAATACCAAGAAAGCTTATAAGGGAAAAGAAAAGTCTTATATCGCTAAAATCTTGCACCATTAAAAATATCGCAAACCACCAGTGTGCAAAATATCCAATTATCAAATCCATATCTTCCTATAAATCATGTTTTGCGATAAAAATATTCAATATATAGACATCATCCCCATCCCAAAGAACAAATAACATACGGAAAATACGCCGCCGCTGACTAAAAACGAGAAAGGAAAATCTTGTAAATTTGCCGAAGAGACGTGGAATGAGGGTCTCGAATCTAAATTTCCATGAAAAAAATGGAAGCGGCTGAGTCCCGAAGAAAACACTCACAATAAAATAGACAATATGGGTATATAGGCATTGTATCGATTGCAGGGATGATAGATTAACAAAAAAAGATTAGAAATAAGCTTAAAGAAAAATAAACAAAATATATCAATGAAAAGAAGTCGATTAAATACCGATAGTGAATATATACAGTTGAAGACAGTCAGAGTCGTTATATCGAAAAAATCGAGCCAAACATTGATTACAAAAGGGATATGTACTAAGATACACATGTGGATAATAGCAACATATTGAAAAACACAAGTTAACAGCACACGAAATTACTGGTGAAGGAATGAAATTGTAAAAGAAACACCCTACATAAAGAAAAACTGGAACAAGAGTGAGAAGATATATAGCACAACATAAGGAAGAAATATGGAAAATTGTGATGTTTAGGACCTCACAAAAACCTAAAGTATTAAGGAACAAGTGATCAGAGCGGCAGCTTCAAATTATGAACTGCTAGACCAAAATTACAAACTCTTATCCAACTAATACCAGATGTTATATATATAAAAGTGTGAAATAAAAAGATCATTGAAAGGGCTGAAGGACAACAAAGTACGCGGCATTAGCCAATTGACCAACTGATCATTTGAAAGGGTCAAATCACTAGCATATAAGGACGCTGCCAAGAAATACGACAACTTCAAAGGGTTTAGGTGCAAAGGAAAAGTTTATCGGTTATGAGAGCGACGGGCGATAAAACTTTCTACTTTAAGTCCTCAGTTTAATTTACTATTTTATTAGTTTATATCAAGAATTGACACAATTTTAACCTGGTCCATCAATTCCTGGGGTTATTAAGATCAAATAGATTACATCAGCATACAAAACGTTGCATATTAAAAGCAACTTGGGCGTTTTGCTTGCCCTCTTCAGTCCCAATAGTCAAAGTCAAAATGCCATACTTTAGCATGAAATCACTCAAAACACAATCTTACCTGGTCTTTCGGCTATAAAGTCGTACACCGTTTGAGCGGCCTCATCCTCGTTAACGTGGTCCCATAATCCGTCGCAGGCAAGTATCAAAAAGTCCTCTCCACCATCCAGTGGAATATCGATAACTTCAGGAATTGCTGTTACATAAGGCTTGTAGGCGGCATCGCCTGATTGAATGGAAAATTATAAGAAATTGCCCGTCTAAGTAATATTCGTGTAAATACCTATAGCTCTAGATACCGCTAGTTGGCCGTTAACTCTCCAGGTGCCGTAAAACATAACTGAGCCGCCTTCGCGCTCAATTCTTGCTCGCTCCGACTAAAAATTATCTAGTCAGTATGCATTTAATTGAAATTTTGTGCTAATGTACATCTCTAGATGGAGTATGGGGTTCGACGCATTGAAGAATCTTTCCCTGTTTGACCAACAAGGCTTGAGAATCACCCACCCATGCTATATACAGAACTTTCTCCTTGGGCCTCAACAAGGCAACTACAGCAGTTGTGCCTCCGCTAAAATGCTAAAAAGCGCAAATGAAAGCTGATATCGAAACAAGATGGCACTTACACTTACCTCTACTCTACATTTTTCTAAAAAGCAAGCGTCTGTTTTGCAAAATGCGTCTAGTAAGGCCTGCACTGGCTTATTGATAAAATTCTTATTTTCCGCTAAATATTGGTGTAAATGGGCAGCACTGTAAACGGCAGCATCGTGGCCGGCATGGCCGTCGAATATTGCATAATAACTGGACGGACTGGCTTCCTGGAACACAAATGGACAAATTAATGCCTGGAAATCAACCTCAGTTTCGCAAAGCGTTACCTGATTATTAAACATAAGATTCAAGTCGTGAATGGCGACATGTCGATCTTCCATTGTTCTTCGCTTGTTTCGTTTCGCACTCACACTGGTCGCATAGTAGGTACTTGACGGAGGAGGCAGGGAGTATAACAGACTGTTATCCAGGTATCGTAGACAAACTTCGTTGGTTTTGGCCATCACAGCTTGCATCAGCTTTAAGGGTTCATACGCTAAAAACGGAAAATAAGATGTGTTTTTTAATAAACTCAATCCATATTTACAAGATGTTCTTTTTAAGGAAACAATCTTTGTTGAAAAAACTGCAGAAGAGTCGTTTTACAATGTAATATTAATCTTTTTCATTCATATTTTCAACGATTCTGGATGTGACGTGGGTCTTCGTGCATCATTTTAGATAACTTCCGTATTTCCGCCTTATCTGTTTAAATTTATTGGAATATAGTTCACTTTCCATTAAACCAAATCAAATAATTTGTCTTGAAATCTTTGCAGTATTTCAGAGCGATGTGCAGGTTCCAACTGCCTCTTAATATGGTGAAGGGTAAGCACACACACACTACCCCCTACAATCCACTGTAAATTCAGTCACTTTTAAGAAGATTTTCATTACTTTTCATGTTCTTCCGCCTGAACAACATATCTTAATTCAAATGAAATTAGTTTCCTCATTTTGACTTCCTACAGACTTTCCTTGAAATATTTCTTTTCTCTCCTAATTTCCCTGTATAGAAAAATAATTTGTTGTTCAATGTTCATGATTTGTTTGATTCTCCCACGTTTGTTCATTTCGTTTCATTTATGCCATCATTCGCTCCCGACCTTGTTCGCTTCATCCTCTTTTATCCTAAAGCAAAGCATCGTAGCTACGCAATAAAAATGTATATTTTTAAATAATTTATTTATCAAGGCATAATGTTTATGTGGATTCGAAAAAATGCAAACCTTAATAGCATGCGAATCTGGCTTTGTAGATTATTTCTGTAACAGAACCATAACACAAGATACAAAAATTAAATGTTAACTAAAAGCCCAAAAATTTATTACAAAACTCATAATACGCACCATTATCGTTGGAATTGAAACCATAACTAAGCGGGTCCTTCTTGCAGGCTTTCCTAATTTCTTCGATGACCACTTTGATGAGCGGCGAAAATAAATGGTCTGGACAGTGCCTGCATTTAAAATGAAAATGTCGTTAAAACATACATAAGGACAATTATTAGTTTTCATGCAACCGTTATGAGTTGATTTTAATAAAGCAAAACTCTGTATTTCGGGTGATTTATTAACAATAGGGAACCCAGAAGCTGTAAAAAAAATGTTTTTTCGTCAATAATTCTGAAATTTTCTGATTTCTGACGAATATGAAATCGGTTGCTATTTCCTGGTTGTTCATAGAAAACGCTACTTGCGACCATTTTCGCCGACATTTACAACTTTTCACCCTACGTGTAACATCAAATTTGGTTAAACACCTACCTAAAAGAGCAATTAATCCTACGTACATCAAGTAATCTTGTTTTATAGCAACTATGAGTTCCGTTTTTGGAAAAACATGGATACAACGGACATTAGGTTTTAATAAAACGCGAGACTAAAAATGGAGCAGATCGCGTAATAACTTTATTCATAAAGCAAGTAAAATTCGTAATAACTATGTCATAAATATAAGTGATTGTTTTAAGTGCCCACCATTGCCTAACAACAAACATAAATTAATAAATAAATTAAATAAAACACCATTAACAACCAACACTTTACATAGTGTTTTACAAGACATTTTCGAGTTCAAAGGCCTAAATCATTCACTTTCACAATAAACGATGTTTTCTTTGCAAAACCTATTTTTTATTTCACACTAAATAGAAATATCTAGAAGAGTGACCACAAATATGACCAGACGTTTAATCGACGTCGATTTTTGTTCACATATTCGTTCAACTAGTCTAATGTAGGTGAATTGGAGTATTGAAATAGTAAATTAACGTGACAAAATAAAATGTTGACAAAGTAAGCACCTAAAACTAGTAGTCGGTGATTGTTTGTAAGTATCTTAGTAGGCCAAAATGGCTAAAACAGCCTGATTATAACTCAAAATCGAAATGTTTGTCCCTTATAAAACCGACTATGTCCTACAATATTTATTTAAACAAAAGTCAACACTTAACTTGACAAGTTTCTGAGAAAAAAGCTTTGAAACTGTCTGCAGAAACAAAGGCAAAATAAAAAGAAAATTTAAATAACTTCTAGAAATTCCCTGAGGATGAACACTTATAGAACACACCTTAAATTACAAAAGTTATGCAAAGGTGAATCTCCAACATTTGAAGGTATGGAAAAAACAAATGCCAAACTTAAGCCTGCAAAGCAACTTCGAAAATGAAAAACACCTTCAAAAGCTTCTGAAAAATTGCTTTTGCCAAAAAACTTTTGCCTCTTCATGCACTGGAAAGAAAATCTGCAGCCACACTGGTTTCTGAGAAAAGAACACAACCACAAAATTCTATCGCAATTTTTAACTAATCTTGACAATAGCCTGATGATGGCTCAAAATCGAAACTTTTGTCACTTACAAAACGGCTCATGACCTACAAAATTCATACAAAAATGATTCCTTGGCTTCACTAGTTTCAGAGGAAATAACTGTGAAACTCCTACCTCATAAACCAACCGAACATGCGAAATTTTGGGAAAGAAATTTTAAAAAGATCTTTGAAATTCGCTGATGAAACAGTTTGGTACAACAAACTTTGCAATATAAAATATATGCAAAAGTGACTTTCTCTTGTTCCTACATAAACAAATACCTAACTCCGGCCTGCAAAAACACCTTCGAAAAACAAACGCAAATTTGTCAATAATTGCCTGATCACTACTGAAAATTGATTTTCCCACTGATCCACTCCATTTATAGAGCCCACTTTGCCCACAAATGTGATACAAAAGTGAATCTTTAAATTTCCAACTTTCTGATAAAATTAATGTTAAACTACGACCTGCTTGAACATCCGCGAAAACTACATCTAACTTTGGAAAACTTTGACTGGTGATTACTGAAAATGTAAGATTTTCACTTTTCTAGAATATATTTTGCTCTGCAAAATACATACAAATGGGACTTTCTCAGTTCGTTAGTCTCTGGATAAATAAATTCCAAACTCGGCAAACTCCGGCCTGCAAAACACAGACTTGTAAACCAATTGCAATTTTGCAAAATTGTCAAAAATTGCCTATTGACTGATAATCGAAACCTTCTTCACTTATCTAAGGGACTTTGGTGTACAAGAAGCATTCAAAATTAGGTTTCTCATTTCACAAGTTACAAAGAAAATAAATGATAGACTCCGGCCTGCAAAAACCACCACAAGAGACATGATTTTGCAAAATTCTTGATAATTGTGTGATGATGACCGAAAAAAAAATTAACTTTCCCCTACAACATGCCTAAAAAAACTGTCTAGTCTTATTCATTTCTGCGGAAAAAATGTCCAGCTCCAGCCTGCAAAAATTACAGCACAATCCAAACGCAACTTTGAAAGTTTTTTGGCAATTAACTGAAGATGACTTCAAGTCTTAGTTCTAAATCTGTTACGACCGTAGGAAAATATGATATTTTGTTGATGAGACTGGAGTAAATTGACTTGTGTCGCTCTTAATTTTAGCGTATTATTAAAACCGAGTGTTCGTTGAAACAGTTTTTCTCAAAAACTGACCGAAATCTTGGTATGAAACAAGAAGACTTAATTGATGTAAAAATGATTGCTTTCACGTTTTGAACTTGTATGAGCAACGTGGAAACTGTATCTTACTCATCTAAAAATCTAGTCACAAGAACTTTTGTTATTTTTTTAAGCCAGATATTTTCATAATAATGCCAAAAAAACGAATCAAAAATACGAAAATATCAACACCGATAAGGCATCATCCTTTGCTTTGACGTGCAGTATCTCCAGTTTCTGGATTTCCCATTGTTAATAAACCACCAAGGTAAAACAAAATAAAACATCATTTAAAACATGAAAAATTTATTTAAAAGGGCATAGGTTAACAGGAATGTATGCAAATTGCATAATTTACACGGTACAAAGAAAAATGCGAACTAACAATCGAACAAAAGATTCCTATTCTTCCATTGAAAAAAAACATGCGACATTTGTTCAGCGGGATATTTTAATGTTTGATACAAATACTGCAAAGGTTTGACTGCGTAAAATATTTGGCACTAGTCTTTTAGGAAACAATTCTATAGAAGTCAGCATATATGTTTACCGATTGAACACAAATTGCCAGTAGTTGCAGAAACAATTAAGATACCAAGAATTAAATTAATCAAAATTATAAACACAGCACTAATAATATCGGGACTAACACGTGAATTTAATAAACAAATTTACTTGATCTGCAATGTGACAATACAAAATTATGACTAAACACAACTACCTTACTGCCTAATAAAAAAATGAGCACCTTAGGCAACGCACTAGACCCATGATTTGCTAGAAAACGTAAAACTTTATTCAGCTACTACCCTGCATGATAATTTCGAAAATTAAACGCCACAAAGCTTGTGCTGCCCAATTAAGGCCAATTTGTACATTTAGTTTTGCATATAAAAATATAACAGAATTTATTTCCATTTTTTTTTACTTGTCTACATTGGGATCAAATCAGTGACCATCGGGAGTATAAAATTATAATTGACTGGTCAGAAACAGTTATTGATTGAGAAATAATAAACGTTCCCATATACATATATCAAGGCTCTGATATAAATTCGCGTGAATAACAATTATGAAAATTCCCACCCATACTTAGAGAGCACATTTTAATCTAAACTCAAGGCAGGTGCACTCAAGCTTTCCCACCCATTTGTTTAATTCCCCTAGCCAATGAATCCGCATGTTATCACACTCCATACAAGTCGTGCAATTTGGCCTTAAGATTATCTGGAAATTGTGCGGAAAACGTTGCCCAAGCCTCCTCAGAATATTGCTGTTTAAAAGACATCAGAATAGTTTTAATAGCGTCGTTCAAATCGGGACGGATATTGAACCAAGATCCTGCAGCATCGCAGAAATACATAAATGAATTCTTGTCAAAATTAGGGTTCCGCATGATAATGGCACATAATCCCCTAAATGCTAAATCCTTCTCCTCACAGTCCCTTAAAAACCTAATCATGGTACAACAATTCTTTACAATACCGCTAATATCAGAAATTTGAACATCAGGACAAACATAAAAAACTGTGCATAATGACACAACCACAGTCTGATGCATGGTTCTGGCCACTGCAGGGTTCCTAATAATATGCATAAAGTGTTCCAAGATTTGTGGCACGTAAGGTTGAATAGATGCCCCCATCACCGTACACAATTTGCCAATTGCCCAGGCAGCATTTTGGCAAACCGCGTCATTGTGCTCATCTAAGTTATTAATTATTAGTGGAATGTAGCTGTTGACGCTAGAAGACAACAGAGGATAGCATAAAGTAACCAGTTCCCCATAAAGAGCGATCGCAGTCTGTCGAATTGAATTTGAACTATCCTGAATGGTGGTGAGAAGCAAGAACACCAAGTTACTGTTGGAGACGAATTTTACAAAGTGACTTTTTAATGCGCCGGCCATTGTGTACAAAACATCATGAGCAACACTCATCGGATCCTTGTCCGGCGGGTCATACTCATCAGGATTTTCCTGATAGTTAATATAAGAAATTAGAGTATCATTAATCAGCTGAAGACAGTGGCAGAAAACAACCTCTGCATAAGGCAAGAATGAAACTTCCAGAAAAGGAATTATGTTGGCTAAACATTCCAAAACTGCCACATAATGATCGTCGTAGTAATTGTCGCTTTCAGTAAACTTTTTTATCAAAGGGGGCAGTAATTTGGAAACATATTGCTGCTCGCTCAAGTGCGTACCTACTGATTTGCCCAACACACCAATGGCATCATATAGCAAATACAGGCTTCTGCATTGGTATCGCTCAAATCCCATTAAAAATCCTTCGATTATCACTCCAATATAGGGAACAAGTTTCAATTGGGCTTCCTCTTGAAAGACGCAAAATGCGGAAATAGCGGCGCGCTGAACGCTCTTGTTATCATCAACAGAGTGCTTTAATAACAGTAGCATAATGGGCACGAAATACATCTGAGGTGAATCGGGTTTGACATTAACAATCCATGAAGCATAGCGGCTTAAAGCCCAACATGTAATAATCCGAACACCTGAATGGCAATCATTCATTAAGGACTGGAGGAAATTTACCAGCTCTGGTAGATGAGATTTGAGGCCTTCTGAACAACCCTCTGATATTGCACCCAAGGCCAGAATCGCACTTTCCTTAACTAAATAGTCAGAATGATTGAGCATTTCACTAATCAGAGGTAGAAGGATGGGGAGAATATCTTCTCCAAAGCATACAGCCAGCGAATCAAGTGAAGACGCGCTGCATTTCCTCAACGTCCAGCCCATATAGAAGTCATCAAAATCATCGTCCTGATTACCTATCTCCTCATCACTGAAAAAATCGTCATCGTCTTGATTATTCTTACTTTTCATGTGAAAAGGCGTAATATCTTGGGCCAAATCCTTTTTATGGGCATCTGAGCCCAAAGTGTCTTTCATCAAGTATAACTCTCTCTCTGAATATCTCATGTTTTTCAATAAGATGGGCAGTAACTTTGCCATGTAAGGAGTCAAAATCTCTTTGCATTTGGGGAGTTTAGATGTAGCCAACCAAAATTCGCAGGCCTGTAAAGCCACATCGTTGTCTTCATGAGTGCTTTTCTCCATTAAATACATGATCACATCATGCAAGTGTGGCAGTAAAGATTCCTCCTGCTTGCTTACATAGATTACAAATGTGTGGCAAACATATTTTTGAAGCTCTATGTCACTGGTATCTGCCAAACGAATTATGTTTTCTAAGTACAGCGTCAAATCAACAGAATGCTGCATGAGGCGAAAATAATCTTGCAAAAACTGGTTGGATAGTTTGACAATTTCTTGATACATCGTGCAGTTTTCTTTTCCAAGATATTCCATAATTGTTGGAAATACCTCATTAATTATTCCATAAACCTCTTCTTGGGTTTTGCGATTGTTAATCAGGTCTTCACAAATTTTAGAGAGGGTATTTAAGGCTATTTCACTAAACAGATTCTGATCGGCAAATAGTTTCAGTAAATAGGAAATTAGATCTGGCCATGTCTTTAGATGATTTCTGGCTAGGATTACTATAACATTTGAGGCGCTTAACCTGATATTCCTGGAAGGATCCATAAGCAGACTCTGACATTCATCTTTAATTTTCTGAACGCTTTCCTGCGGCAGCATCTGATAGGTTTTGGCGATATTGTTCTTTAGCAGGACGCCGCTCAAGTTTCGCACATCCTCTGAATAGACCCGATTTCCCAGGATAGACAAAAAATAGTACGTGATGTCCGGAATGTTTTGAATAATACTGAGCTTTTCATGGACATTCTTCTGTATTTCTGTATCAGGAATCAAAGCTTCCTGCAACACATCTTTGACTGAATTCAGGACACTTTCCTGTGGTTGCCAATGGGCCCAATTCATTTTCCAGATCTGCAAGTTGTATCAAATAGTTAGGTTATGATAACAAAACGGCATTTGCCCGGGCAGGCTAAGTGGTGGCTATTTGAATTCGTGTTGAAAACCGTATTTACTTACCTTTTAAACGTAAAATAAACCGCAAAATGCTCAAAATACCGAATATGTTTTGACAGCAAATTATTCAGACCTTCAAATCTTCTAACAGAGCAAGAAAACGGACCGCGCATAGGCGGCAGCACAAAATCAATGACAATTATTCCAGGGCAGGACCCAAGATACCAATACCCCTGACGCCTGTGTTTACTGAGGGGCATATAAATAATTGTACCAAAACTCAAATGTAAATTAGAATCTACTTAGTTATAAGGGGGCAAATTAAATTCAATTTTAATCATAGCTTTTGTCAATATCTGTAAATTTCAAATAAAAATCACCGTGTTATTTACTACTAATTGAACGGGTTAGAGAAAAGCTCTATGGGCATTAGGGGTGGTTTTCGTAAACGATGTTAGTGTGACGTGTTTGAATCTAATGCCAATGTGGTAGGATAATAGGAAATATCCCCCGCCAAAAATTGAAATGTACCTACTCTATGAAATTCATAAAATATATTTAAATTGTGCAGTTTTTGGTTAATTTTATATTCTCAATTTTTTTTAAATTCTTTAAACCCGTCTCAATGTTTTTTCATCACGAACATTCGAATATTGCAACCAAATGAATTTAATTTTCAGTTCCTAATTATTTATTTTTAGTTTGCTTGGTTTCTAATCAACAAAATTCTCTAAACTTCAAGCGACTTTAAAGATTCTTAAATAACGTGCAGTAGAGCATTTTGAATGCTCCACATGTCCGTCTAAAACCTTCTTTTCCTGGTTAATTTACAGAATGTACCATTCATCACGCCACAGACTATATGGATTCAATCAATTTTTAACTGAATATCTTTCAAATCTGACTGTCTAGATTATTTTCATCTCATGATGTTAAAAAGACGAAACGTACAAGAAGTAAACTTACTTAATAGCGCATGATAATTGCGTAAAATGCATGCGAACGGGATTTTAAAATAGGCTATTTGAATATTCATGCAATTTATTTAATTTGGGGGTTTTTGGAAAACAGAAAGTAGGTTTAAGATTTAGAACCGTTGAAAATAAAATTTCCATTTTTTTTTGTCAAAAAACACAATTTTTGTTTATTATAGATAGAACATTCCGGCAAATAAATTCGTTTCTCAACAATAATTTTCGAATAAAGGTCAAGGAGACAATTTCAAACCAAAATCGAGTCTAATCGCAGTAAAGAACAACTGGTTCATGACTTATATCTGCTGTTTCCATTAATTTGGTCATTTGCTACTTCCTACACTTAATTAGTTCACAGACATACGCGAATTCCTACACACTTGCTCTTGTAGATAAATATTCGGATTTACTTTCGACTCTTAGAACAAAGTTTGGAGTTTTGCCCGCGTAAAAAACCAATATATTCGTCTAGTACACCGAGATGTAGAAGTTCATTTACGAAAATAAAAAACCACCTCATAAAACATTGCCAATAATTCGAAAAATCGAATATATGTATTCTTAGAGAGTATGCATTAAGTTCGGCAGAAATACCAGGAAGTATGGGGAAGAATGTGGTATTAGGAACGATTTTCTTCGAAGTCTTAGTAACTACTCCATATTAAATATACACTCAAAGAGCAAATAGCTGGAAATTCCAGTAAGAGTCCTGAGCTATAAATAAAAAACATCTTGAGTCTGTCGCGAATTTTGTGTGATCCGTGTTCTATTAAGTTATAAACAGTTGCTGCTTTTTATGATTTTAAAGAATAGATGCATGACACAATAACATTGAATTAATGAGAATGGAAATTTTTGTAATTTCCCACTAGATACGCTTGGCAAAGACACAACAGCAAAAGTGTTTCCACTAACAGCATTCCCAAAAAAGTACCTAGCAAATTGAAGACAAATTACTAGTAACGAATTACGTATCTTTGACAATATACAGGGTGTCCCCTAATCACATGGTACTACGACGTTCTTTGGCTCAAAGAAAGACGATACCAAATATGAATTTGCTTCTATGTAAGATGTTTTGGTGAATCAACAGGGTTCATCCGCTTTGGGCAAATGAAGAATTTTTGAGTGTGTTGGTACAAAAACTACCAGAACTTTTTATTTGGTTATATAAGTAGGTATGTTTATAACAAATACAGCAATCATTGAAGAGCAAGGGACACGAAAACAGAGCTTTCCGTTAAGAGATTTGAGATAGTGAATAATTATAAACGATTGTAGATAAGATAAGGTTGCAACTGATGCAATTTTATCCAACTTCGTGTTAAACAAGCATCTGCCTACGCCCTTGTTTAGCTACTTAAAATAAAATTATTAGAACTATTAAAGGAGAGCATTAAAAACCAGTGAATCACCTATTTACCGTACTAAATGTGCGATGATGCACATTACATGCAAATGTAGCAGTCCAGAGGAAGTGAAACAACCGGAAATCAATGCCATAATCTAAATAGGATCAGCTCGGTAGCATTAAAAGCAGCTAAATAATGCTTTAAAAACCTTGCTTTTTCAGAATGTACAGGGTGGAGATAAATTAAGAACTGTAAAAGTAACAAAACTGTGACTTATTTACGCTGGTGGCAGCCACATAATTAGCAACAATCATTGTTTATACTCAAATAAATAAGAATACAATTAGCATAAACCGGAGAAAGCAGTTTGGGGTCATTGATAGCTGTTTACAAGCAAATTGGTCGCAGTTGCGCAAGTTCTTGTCAAGTCACAGCAAAACAGTGTGTGTTATTTTGGTAAATAAACCAATATCAGGTACGTGTTGATAGACAAGTTGCTTTAGGGCTTGTTCAATTAATCTTCTACCAAGTTTACTCACTTTTGCGATAAGTACTGGGTGGTCCAATCAATTATGCCTCCAATCACTTCGGTGTTCAGCAATTTGTAGCTCCCCAACTTGACGGGCAGCTGATCGTGTGGGTTCACAGTTTTGGCGAAATGTTCGAAAAATTCGCGGTAACTGGTCAAATAGTCCTCCTTATCGGCCATTTCAAATCGTATATAACTTAAGAATTCGCACTTTTTCTTTGAAAATCACGAAAATATCGAGTACACCTGTATCACACAACCAAATATTGAATCACTCTCGGCCTGGGGTGTTTGGAAGGAAGGAAAAAAACTCACGTAGTTTATTTATATTAGAACTGTTAATAGGAGCGGGTTAATTGGTAAATATTTACAGGGTAATGGGTTAAATGATTCACTGCACACTGTACAAATTATTTACTCATCTGTCACAAGACTTGGTTAGGTGGCATGAAGTTAGACAATTCTATCCATAGATATAAACAATTTTTTTGGGCGTGTCCAACAGCGCTGTTGCCGTCCATTAAATATGCAATTTCAAAAATTTGATTTTAAAGTATGGTTAATAAAAAAATAAGCAAGTTTGTTGCAATAAGCAAAAATGTTTTAAAAAAATATAGACACTGATTTGGATTCTAAACAAATACGTTACGGTGATGCAAAAATTGAGAAAACTACCAAAACATATATTTTTAAATTTATTTTAATTTAATTTATTGTCTTCTTAAATGTGATCAGTTCATTCAGAAATATGTGAAAATATTATTTAATTGACGAATAGAAATATAATAATTGTACTAAAATAAGTTAATCAATGCTTTATAAAAATAAATGAGTGTTAACGTCCGAAAATTAAAATGAAATGCTTTTTGCGGCTTAAGCGGACAAATAATTTTTCCCGATTCCAATAAATTATTTGTCCGCTTTTCAGGCAAAAAAATTTAATTTCATTTGAAGTAATGAAATTAAAAAAAGTTAAGAGCCTCTTAATAATGCGGCGTTTTTATTTCATTCCGATAACGATTCATCTATAAAAATACAATATCTACATATTTTGTATCTTCCTTTAGACTTATATCATAAATAGTGGCGTTTTATTAAGCGCAAACGTGCTATTTTGTAGATCTATGGTCCCGTTGCTTAGCAACTTCAAATTTGAAAATGTTACCAATTCAAACTATGAAAGACTGTCACTATTCCAACTATTGAAATTTATTTGCAATGGACGAAATAACAAAAAATCTAGTGATATTTAACGCGTCGAAGTTTGATTTGTTCAAAATCCAAGAAAACTATAAAAGCTTTGCCAGAAAACTGAAAACTGTCGCGAAACTGGTGGTAAATAGGGATGAAATCAGTGCAGATTTGCTCAAGAACTGCAACTTATTGATTCTGCCGTGCCCGCAGATGGTTTTCGAGGAAAATGAGCTTAAAGTGATGGAAAATTATGTACAAGACGGAGGCAGAATGTTAGTGTTACTTACCGAAGGCTCTCCTACTGACCCGACCAACATCAACATTCTGCTGGAGAACTTTGGTATCTACCCGAACATTGATTGCCTAATCCGTACGCATTACTATAAATATTTCCATCCAAAGGAGTGTTTCATTGCCGACAGCCAAATAAACTCGACCATAAACAAAACAAAGTCCGATCTGAAGCTAATTTACCCCTTTGGGTGCACAATGAACGTGATGAAGCCCAGTGTTATTTGCCTGAAAAGTGGCTTTGCCACTTTCCCAGTTGATTGCCCTTTGGGAGCGTTGTACTACAACGCAAAATCCGGAGGAAAACTTGTGGCGATTGGATCAGGCTACATGTTCAGTGACAAATATTTAGATCAAGAGAATAACGAATTGTTTAGGGAGATTCTGCTGGCGTTCTTGAACAGCTCAGAAACAGTGCACTTTTTACCAACTGATCATGACGATATTGAAGTCACCGATAGAAACATTGTGCCTGAAACTGCAGAATTAGCTGACAAGCCAAAACTGTGTCTCACTGATGTGGTTAACAATACCTCTGTCGTTGACTATACAAGTTTGTTTGATCACAAAGTGTATGCAATGAACACCATGATGGTCCCAGAGACTCTCAAAGCGTATGAGGATTTGAACGTGAAACATTCACCGCTGAAGATAATCACCCCGAAGTTCGAGGCTCCATATCCCAGCCTGCAAGCAGCAGTATTTCCACCATGTTTCAGGGAATTGCCTCCGCCGTGTCTGGAGCTGTTTGATCTGGATGAGGCGTTTACCTCCACTGTTTCTAAACTGGCTCAGTTCACTAACAAGTACATGATGACAGTGACTACTTCGGAAAAAAACGAAGACTCCTATTTGCATGATTATGTGGCTCGATGTGTCCGGATTCTAACTGCAGAAGACTCTGAGACAGTTGAAGAGTTTCTGTATAGAATAGGCAAAGAGATTGCGGAATTTAAAAGTATAGACAATATAAAATAGGAGTAAGTTATACTATAAATAAAGCATACATTCTAGAAGGATCACGTTAACTTATTGTATTTTCTACGTCTGTTTGTTATAGTGGAAAACTCACTGTCACATTATGGAGCAGAACCTGAAATTAGATTCAAAACTAGGCGAGATTTCTCCTTTCAATTCCTTAGACTTAACATGAAGATACGTGTTCTCGTATTGTTTTTGCATCTCTTCCGGCAGTGGACAATTCCAATTCTCTGGCGGTCCTTTCCGTCTTGTCCATGTATTGTTGGCATAATGACCAGAAAGCCGCCTCTTTCTTCTTTCTTTTTCAATAGCCACCAGCTCTTCCTGAATTATTAAGACATAGAAATGGAACTGATCGTTATTTCCCACTTACTCCTGCAGCTTTATCCTGGTCTTTGATCCATTTGTAGCAGTTTATAGAGCTTCGTTTCCACTCGCTACAATCTAGTGTGTTCCCAAAAATGAACAACTGGTGAAGCCGGGCCCTTATAGATGTACAATCTGAATACTCCTCATCATATGTGGGACATTTTCTGATCTGGAATTAAGCCATTTAAACTGATGAAGCAGGAAACAGTAATGGGATCTGCAAAACATATTATTTAAATGAATCCAGTACCATCCAGTCGTCTTTCAGTCTGATTTCTTCAGTCATGACGTTCTTTGGGAAAATGTATATGCCCTTTAAACAGTGATTTCTAAATATTTTAATAATAACAATTTAAAGTTTAGTTGGATTTGGTTGAGGTTATGTACTTGTCTTTATCTATGGTTATGTAATGGTGCATCTACAGGGTGAACTAAATTAGAAATATTGCCTAGTCTAAAAAAAGGTCTCTGAATTGTTTATCTCCTTTTCATACAAAAGCTAATTTGTAACTTGATCAGTAAAACGTCGGTCTCCATAAACGAGCCGAAAATTCAAATAAAATTATTTTAAAAGTCCTGAAAATTTCCCGAGGATGCACCAAAATCGAAACGGTTCAATCAAATGCGACTCTTTTTTAGATATTGGGAAAAGAAATCGTAAACTTATGCATGCACAAGTAACTTCAAATATCAAAGATGAAGTTTTTTAAATATTTTTTGACCATGTCTCAGATTCGAAACTTTTTGCAGCTATAGAATTCACGTTGTCCTACAAAACCTACCCGACAGTTAGTTCATTAGTTTCTGAAAAATTAAATGTTTAAAATGAACTTAGCCTTGCAAAAACAACCACAAATTTCTATAACGAAAATTAATCTTGAAAATTTCCTGATACTGACTCAAAATCGAAACTTTTCGCACTTATGAAACAGACTATCCCCAACAAAATCCACCCGAAGGTCACTCTCTAATTTAACTACTTTCCAAAGAATTAATTCTTATACTCCGGCCTGCGTAAAGAGGCGCAATATACAAACATTAAAATTTTTAAAATATTTAGAAAATTCTCTAAAGATAAATTCATAATCGAAATGTTTTCCACGTATAGAGCAGATCTTTCCTTACAAGTGTAATTAAAGTGACTACGTCTCACCTTGCAAGTTTTCCAGTAAATAAATTTCAAAGTATCACCTGCGAAAATCACATGCAAATTTGAAAAATTCTTGAAAATTACCTGATTATTGCAAATCGAAACTTTCTGCAACGCATACAAAAGCGGCTCACTCAACATGTTAGTTCCTGAATACATAAATGGCACATTCCGGCCTACAAAAACACCCTTGCAAACTAAACGCAATTTTGTAAAATTATCAATAATTGCCTGATGATGACAGAAAATCGAAACTTTCTGCACTTATTATATAAAGGACTGTGCCCTACAAACACATTTCAAAA